TTGATGAAAGCAGAGAAGGGCTGGCCAAGTTATTGTGTGAAGTGGATCTTGCCATAATGCCATCAAGGACTGAGGGCTTTGGATTGACTGCTCTTGAAGCCTTATCTGCAGGCCTGCCTGTACTTGTAAGTGGTAACTCGGGACTTGGAGAAGCTCTCAAGAAAGTGGCTACTGGCTCAAATTGGATAGTGGCTTCTGAAGAGCCTAAAGACTGGGCAAAGGCAATCTGTGCTGTACAAGAAAAAGGCAGAGATATACGACTTGAAGAGTGTGAGATACTTCGAGAAAAGTATGGTGCAAAGTACAGCTGGCAAAAGCAGTGTTATTCTCTTGTGGAAGCAATGCAGAAAATTAGTTTTGGTATGTTTAGTTGCCTATGAATCTCTAAGTTAAACCAATAATATTATTCTCTAAGTTTTCTGGAGGCCTTTAAACAGGACACATCTCTACTTATATGTGTTAGGTCCTTTGCATATATTCAACAAGTGTATTCTTTAAAGTGCCATTGAAACAAAATTTTCATATCTGAGATTTTTACTTACTGATTAAGTTTGAACCTTACTTACAAGTGTACATTGTCAACTGTTTTTTTTTTTTTCACAACCAATTAGTAAAAACTGCTTTTTCATGCATTCGAAGTTCGCTGGTTGAGCCCAAAATTGGCAGCCATCTTGGCATAGCCAAAACAGCCTTGTGACATCACTGGTTTTGTTAATCTCGTACTGTACTGAAATGTGTAGCAACTGTTCCAGAAAAATAATATCCCTACGTACTCCACGGAGGGTCATGGAAATTCTGAGGGGTATGAGGGTCTGAAAGAGGCAAATTTCCAATGGGGAGGGGGTACACAAAAAGTTTTCTTTCCAGAGGGTTTCAAATTTGATGGAATAAACACTATCATTCTTTTCCAATAAATTGAGGTAACCAAACCAAATACGTTCCATCCGTTGAAACAAACTTTTGTAAGTCTTTCATGAGTCTTTGTCATATATTATCCATTATTGTTCCCACTTTGGACAACACAGACAGTGCTCCCAAGTGGCACTTTCTTTGGACATCAAGTTGAACAAAATGCCAAAAAAAGGTGCAGCAATACAATGAAGTTGACAACATGTACATTTTATGCTTTAAAGATTGTGCTGTATTTAGCTTAAACACAGCTGTTGCTTCTTCTGGAATTATTCCTGCACTGCACTGATACACTCTATTTATACTCTGTATAATCATCTGTTTGTACTTGTACACGTGCAAATTGTTCTTGTTAATTTGGTGCAATTTCAGATCTACTGACTAGATTAACACAAGAGTTTGTAAATGTTAGCAAAGTGGATTTGATGCCATATGTTCTTGAGCTACATGTAACCATGGACGGAAAGGAGCACTGGAGTAGTAGCAAAGATTTCATTTGCTTTTTAGTTACCCGGTGGTTACCACTGATTTTGAAAACATGATTTATGTGTTTTACACATGAAACATGTGACATTAGTCATAAAAAATACTTACTAGGCGTTTTGCCATCTTTTGCAAACCACAAAGACAAAGTGTGTGACATGATATAGTTCCTTTGCTGAAAGACAAATTTTTAATTTAAACAATATTTGGCAAACATGTTTTAAAAATCATGTTACGTGATGACATACTTTCCCGCTGATAATCAGAGCCTGCTCAAGTCTTGACCTGCGAAAAATACTATTGGACAAACCTACATGTAATCTTATATTACACTTGCAACCTACAAAAATATCGTGGAAATTAATATGGGTAATAGTGAAGTACCTTTCGCAGTTTTGCCATCAAAGCTAAAAGATTCATGAATATCTGCATGTGTAAAGTAAATTGATATGTTGTTTCGACTATGGATAAATTAAAACTTCAACTCCTTTACATGTATTTGAAAGAGCTTAAATTTTCAGTACTTTCCTAGATACATGTAATAATAATTATTGAATGAAAACTTCTTTCAATTGAATGAAGAAAAGGTCAGTTGTTTTGCCATTTGGGTGTTAAGGGTCTCTAAGTCAGTTCCAGTGTACATGTAGTTCAAACACTTCAACATGACATGAGGATCCGGACTGAAAATGAGTGACGATAATTATATTGTGTTTAAGCCTCAGGTCATGATAACAAAGATAGCAATCTTGTCTTTGAAGTTTCCTCCAATGGTGTACTCATGGTGTTCGAAAGGTGTACTTAACTGTTCTAATCTGTTGCACTTATTTTGGTGAATCTAAACTCTTTAGCTCCCTCCCAAAGTCTAAAATGTGAATTACTGTCTGGTGGGCCAAAATTACGAGGTAGAGAACTAGTAGGTCAGGACAATACGGAGAATAAACTTGAATAAATCAAGTGAAGGCAAGAGAATCTACTGTGCTTCGTGTTTGAATACAACCAGTGACGTCACAAGGTCCTGAAACTCTGTTCCAGAGCTCCTGAACACCGTTTTGTTCCAAAAAGTCAATTTCAGCAGCTAAGAACAACATTTACCATTTAAATTTGACGAAAACAATTAATTCACCATGATTGTAAACATGTTTAAAATTGGGTGAATAAAAAACAGTTCAAAAATTTTGTTTCAGTGGCACTTATTTAAGTCTCAATTAAAAACTTAGGGGAAAGCTGAATTATTAACTTGCATAGCAGTACAATGGACATTATTATGTTTAATACAGAAACAGGTAAGGATTGTTGTCATCTTGGTAGTCATGCCCTCTTCTTTATTAGCATCCAATAGAAACTTCCGTAGCAAAGCATAAAGGGTCATAAAATGTATTTGAGACTTTCTGATTTACTACATAACTATAGAAATCAACAACAATGAGAATTGCAGAAGCAAAACGTTTGCAATGAACATGTTCATGTAGCCACATTTTATAGAAAGAGTCTATCACCTAAGAACTACAGCATTATTGTGCAAAGCCTACATGTACATGTAATAGGTGATACATGCAAATTACTGTTTTCTATTTCCTTTGTTATACTCTTCATTCTTTCTATTGGAAGTCTAACAAAGGATTATTTCTCAGCAGCNACAACAATGAGAATTGCAGAAGCAAAACGTTTGCAATGAACATGTTCATGTAGCCACATTTTATAGAAAGAGTCTATCACCTAAGAACTACAGCATTATTGTGCAAAGCCTACATGCACATGTAATAGGTGATACATGCAAGTTGCTGTTTTCTATTTCCTTTGTTATACTCTTCATTCTTTCTATTGGAAGTCTAACAAAGGATTATTTCTCAGCAGCTTTTCTTGGGTTACGTGTTGAATGTGAAAGTGTCAAACAGAAAGAACCCAGCTCACAGGATGAGGCATTGGATTCAGCAAACTCGGCAAGACCCAAGGAAGGAACCAAAGAAACAGCAACTACATGTACTGCAGTAACTAATGATGTTGCACAAACAGGTGTATACATTCCCACATCAGATGAAATATTTCGTTTAATTGTCATGAGACGCCTTCAGATGGTGCCACCGTCTAGTGTACAGGAATTTGAGGACTTCAATGAATATATGTCCACTGTGAAAGGTATTATCACCCAAGATGTTATGTTGGGCAGTTTGCTGATCACAGTGAAGTGTAGGTCACTTCAGGTTCTTGAAGATCTCTGGACTGATTATACATCTGGACTTCTGAATGAAATAGTACAAGGCTGTCTTGTAACAGATGATGTCCTAAATGACCTTGGCCTATCTGAACTAAAGCTTTTTACTTCCATGAGAGAAGCTGATTACAAGGCATGTAAAGAAATCCTCCAAAATTCAGGTTGGTTCAGACAACCTAAGGTATTGTATACATGTACATATGAGATTGTCTATATGGCTTTTGTGGGTGGGTGGTGAGCCATGCATCTCGGGTTGTACATCCTACATCCTACATCATGGGTCATGCATCCTAGTTCATGCATGTATGTTTAGGATCCCCATGCAATATTAACTAATAATGAAAATCAACCCCAGACATCATGGTAAATTGATAGTTCTCTTGATTAACAAAATTATTAAGAGTTATTTTTGTGCCTGGAATGGAAATACACACATGTGCACATACACATGGGTAAGATTATGCTATAATCGAGGTCTCGTATTTGACAAGTTGGCTACCCAAGTCAATACCAACTGGTAGTGAGCAGGGGTGGGGATCTGTGTAACTAAATTAATGTGCGAGTACACTCAAATATATATATTTCTTGACTTATGAACCTTTCCAGGATTTGCAAATCTCCATTGCATGAGCCACACAACTATGTTGACCAATTGTGAGGACAGTTGGCCAGCTACATTTTTTTAAACATCAGGGTTTTTCTAGACTTCAAAAACTTA